TCTGGTAAAATTTCCCAAATTTGGTCACTCTCTGTTACCTTCTGGTAAAAACTGACGGTGTTAATGGAGAATGACAGAAGGTAACAGAGAGTGACCAAATTTGGACGGTTTGACTAATCTTAAGGACCACAAATGAATAAAATAATTTTAGTGACCAAATGTGAAACTTTTTAATAATCTCAGTGACCAACCTTACTATTCACCCAATTCCTTTATAGTACAAACTGAATCCGTAATTTTATGGTATAAACTGAACTTGTAGAAGAAACAATTTCTTTTATGATAAAAACTCAAGCTCTAATGTTATGGTATAAGTTTAATTTATATTTCGAAAGTATAGTAGAAAAGGCCCCTACGTCCAGACCCGGAACTTGGGGTCGTTTGGAAGTTGTGATTTCAAATAGTGTATTGAGCTAATTCATGTATTTGTGAGATTAAGCCTTTTTTTTCTTCTTATATTGAACTAGAATACATGGATTAACTTTTTGGAGGCCCCATCACAATCACTCATAATTGAGAGATTATCAATCTCTACTTTTTATTGAGATTCTTCTCAATCACTCAAAATGGACTTTTGTGGCTTTACAACAAACCATAATCTAAACCTCCAAACAAGATATTTTCCTAATACATCAATTAATTCAATACGTCAAATGATGATACACTAATTACCTCAATACATCAATTTGAATAATCACAACTTCCAAAACTCGCTAGACTTGTGTTTTCTGTTTTCCGATGGACGGTTTGGATTCTCAGGTAGGTAGGAGGGCCATATCATGAGGAGGTATGCTGGGTTTTTTTTTTTGTCCTCGTGTATTCTGTAACAACTATCTTTATTTCTCCTGGGCCAAAAATGTAAAGGGGAGCAGGGGTTTTTTTCCTTTTTGTGATGTCCTAGTTTATGGTTTTCAGCTACTTTCTTCTCTATGTTAATTTTCAGATGACCTGTTCATTACTTCTGTCGAATACCGTTTGGTATATTCTCGTTCAGAGACAGCAATGGATCGTTGCATGCTTTCCCACAGGAGAGTTCAGTTTCCGAAGGTGCTCTGTTTGATGTTTTTTTTTAGGGTTAATACCTTGTTATGGCCTGAACTATGACCATGTAATCAACTTTGGCCAGTGGTTTGAGAAATTAACATCCTGGCCCGAACTATGCAGCATATAGACAAAATTGGCCTGAAGCGTTGTTTGACCGTTTGTTTGGACGGTCAACACCGTTGACCGTTAGTCAACTGTCCAGGTCACTGCCATGTCAACATAAAAAAAATTACAATTTCATTTTTCTTTTTATTTCATTTACAAAATTGAATAATTAAAAAAAAAAAGAAAAAGAAAAACTTTTGGCCCACCCATCCCCACCTTATCCCCTCACCTTCTTTCCTTTTCGATCAAACCCAAACAAACCCTATTCCATCTTCTTCCCCGACGAGCCGCCGCCTCCATTCTCTCCGACTTCAAATGGTCGATCTCCCTCCAAATCATGAAATATCCAGTCACCACCATCACCGGCATCACCTACGACCGCGACAGCATCGAACAATGGCTCCAGAACTCCTCCACTGCCGCCGTCTGCCCAGTCTCCAAACAGCCGCTCCCGAGAACCGCCGACCTCACTCCCAATCACACGCTCCGACGCCTCATCCAAGCCTGGTGCACCCTCAACTTCGTCAGCCGGATCCCAACCCCAAAATCCCCACTCACCAAGTCCCACGTCACCAAGCTCCTCCGCGAAATCCTCCACCACGCGCCGCCGCTCGGATCCCTCCACGCGCTCCTCAAGCTCGATGGCCTGGCCTCCGAGAGCGACCGCAACCGCGCCACCATCGCCGACGCCGACGCCGCCAAGGCCATGGTCTCCCTCGTCCTCAACCCCGAATTCCGTACCACCGGAGGTGTGGAGCACGCGCTTAGAGTTCCGAATCTCGTGTGGAACCACACGCCGGAAACCACCACGAAGCTTCTCGTGAGGCAGAACGAGGGCCCACTCCTCCACTCGCTGAGGTGGATTTTGAACAATTCAAATTCAAATTCCCAACAGAATCAGACCACGCAGAGAATGGAGGCGGCGGGTTGTCGGGGAAGAAGGAGGAAGAAGAATAATGGTTAGGGTTTGTTTGGGTTTGATCGAAAAGGAAAGAAGGTGAGGGGATAAGGTGGGGATGGTTGGGCCAAAAGTTTTTTTTTTAATTTTTCAATTTTGTAAATGAAATAAAAAGAAAAATGAAATTATAATTTTTTCTGTTGACATGGCAGTGACCTGGACAGTTGACTAACGGTCAACGGTGTTGACCGTCCAAACAAACGGTCAAACCACGCTCCATGCCAATTTTGTCTATATGCTGCATAATTCGGGCCAGGATGTTAATTTATCAAACCACTGACCAAAGTTGATTACATGGTCATAGTTCATGCCATAACAAGGTATTAACTTTTTTTTTACGAATGCAGGAGGCTTTTAGTTAGTTGCAGGACCAAAAGACTTTCTCAATTTTCATAGCATATGTAATACGTCGAAATGAAAATGAACCAATATACACTGCTCTTTAGTTTCATAGCATATCTTGATGACAGTAAAGAAACTCTGGAAATCCCATTCAACTGAAAAGTGTTTACGTGGTGCCCAGATCTACAGAAATGCGAGGAAGAAATTCAAACAGAGGTGATATGCTTTTCTGGAACCCTTCCCGAAGACATTGAATTTGATCTGTAAACTGAGAGGCAGAAATGGAATTCATGGACCATAGAGGGAGAGGGAGAGGGAGGGGAAGTAAGTACATCCATTTTACATCCAAAACAGCAGCCAATAAGCTTTGCTATAGGGATCTATGCACAAGACCAAATCCAAAATAATAAGAGCCAAAAGAACAGAGACCAGATGAAAATCAAATAAAATCAACCTGAATAGAAACAAGAAAGAGTTTTCATTTTGCTTTATTTTCCTGTAATCACAATTCTTATCATCAAATATATGTATCTAAAATGTTCAAACAGAAGAAAATCAAAGAATGGATCGACCCAGTCCTATTACCCAAAAACCGTCCGATGGAGGATCAGATTCGTCGTCGGCAGCGGGATCAGACGCGAGCGGCGGTGGTGGCGGCGACATTGGTGGCGGCGCCACCGAGGAACGATAGGAATCCGGTGGTGGCAGGCTCTTGCTCATCCAAGAACAGATCCTCCGGAACCCTAAACGAGCCGTGCGCGCCCACAACGACCGCCCCGACCATGAGAGCCGAGATGAGCAGAGATCCGACGCTGGTGAGGAAAACAACGACCACGCTGAACAGGACGAGGATGCCGAGGGTCTCCATGTCGGTGAAGGAGCGGCCGAAGATGACCAGCGGCTGATCCGCGGGGCGGAAGAGGTAGAGGAAGATCCAGGAAGCCAGGAGGCCCACCAGCAGCAAGAGCGAGAACGGATGCGAGACCAAGGAGAAGGCCAAGATCGCGGCGATCACGGCCAGGTAATTGACGCGGAAGTAGGCGTAGTTCTTGCGCAGGCGGAGGGAGGCCTCGGACATGGACTCCGGCTTCGAGAAGGCGGATCGATCTGCTAGCTCGGCCCACGGGCGGCGCTGCGAGAGGCCGTTGCGGACGGTGTCGGAGATCTTGTTGATGAAGGAGCGGAAGGCCGGGGTGGCGATCGGAGGCTGGGATTGGGCAGACGCGGCGGCGGAAGGAACGGTGGTAGTGGTGACGGCGGATTGGGAATTCGAGATCGGGAGGATTGGGGGAGATGGAGCAGCCATGGCTGAGAGGAAATTGATTTGAGGGAAGCACAAATCGTGTTTTTCACGGTGGTGCTTCCTTCGTTACGTTGGCTCACTCAAATCAATTTGGGGACTTTGGCCTTCCTCTCTTAATCTTGTTTTTCTTTCCCCCAATGGGCTTCGATTTACGTTTTAAACGAGAAGCAGCGGAGGAGAGGACGGTGGCAGAAAAGGACGGAATACCGGAGATTTTATTAGCCGAATTTATTATTATTTATAAAAACAAAAGGAGGCAGGCAGCGGGTTAACTACGGTACGGACCTCAATGCCCCGTTCCTGGTAACTACTGTAAGTTTCGTCTTTCTTTCCGTGTATCGGCCCGCGCTTGCGTTTATCCGCCAATAGTATGTTAACACGTCAGCTAAGTAAACCGAGGAAGAGGCTTCGCCTGCAAGTTCCTTAATCCTGAAGCTAAGTCGGCCTGACTTTTTGCCATTTCGGTCAACAAGGGCTCAAATTTTATAACACGCACTAAGCAATAGGATTGATGATGGAGCTACAAAAGAGCCCTATATTTTTGTCCCACGGGCCACAGCCCACAGCCCATCCAACAATGCAGCGAGCCCAGAAGGCCTGCCAACAACTTTGGTTGTTCATTAAATAAATAAAAAACACAAAAAAAAAACAGCGGAGTTTATTCCATGGGTAGGAGTGTCCATTCGGGTTTACCCGAAACCGACACAATTAGATACATTTTTTGTTTTTAGGGTTCGAGTTTGTTTTGGGTTCGGTTTTGCTTATCGGTTTTTCGGGGTTTGGCTGAAAACATCGAAGAATTAGCACTCAACCCGTATTTTTAGGCTTTCGAGTTTTCGTGTTTCGATTTTGCTTTAACTGAACCCGAACCCGATAAGGAATTTTCGGGTTTCGGGTAATGAAAAACCAAAAGTCCTTGTTGGGTTCGGTTTCCAGTGATTTTGGTTTTGGGTTTTTTGGTTTTGTCGGGTTTCGGTTTGGTTAACCGAACCCAACCCGAACGGACAGCCCTAACCATGGGAAGTCAAATAGTCGATCGGCTTGGTCTGCAGCTGGAGTCCAACTGAAGCTCGCTGCTGGTTAACATTCCCAGATACAGTTTTCCAGTTTACTTCGATATATTGTAAACCAAGGCAACATAAAGTTCCAGAACAATGTCAGACAAGGACACAATGCAAAGGCGCGAATCAAGTTTCTTTATTCTCTAGTTCATATTCCATAAGAAAAAGCAGACCATATTACGGGATGATAAACTCTACTCCTATTCCAAGTCCAGGCAGCTGACACCCAACACACATCACGAGTGTGAACACAGGTTGCACAAGGAGTAGATTTCAGAAGGTAGAACCATTCCATCCGAAGTCGGAACCCTGCAAGAAAGGGGCACCACAAGCATTGATCAGCAACAGCAAAACAAGATTTCAATGTTTTAAGCCGGATGAAGAACGAACATATATGTATCTGATCCTGGAAGGAAGTAAAATAGCCGTGCGCGCAGTTTGAAAACAAATAGTCCAACAAGGGGGTTTGATTTACATTATCTAATGCTGGTGTAAAGCATGCAAACATTGTGCAAAATCTGGAGTTTGTTGGGCCTAAACAGAGACACGAAAGAATGCAAATGAGAATATGCGCATGGGGAAATAAAATCCATCCAATCTTCTCTCAATTTGTAAGAAATTGAGTGTGGCTTGCCTTGGAGTCAACAAATTTGAGGAAGAATCTCGCCTTGGGAACCGACAACTTGGTCTCGAGAATAGCAGCAATTGCAGCGCTGAGTTTCTTGTTGGTGTCGGGGTTTAGGCCACCAATTGAAACCAACTCACCAAAAGCAGCTGGTTGCTCAGACCCACCAAATGCCATAGGGATTGAGCCCTTCAAAACAATCATCACATACTGCACAGCACATGAACAATGGTTAAAACTTAACAAAAGATCCCGTGGAAGATAGAATAGTTTAGGTATTATGTAGCTGCCAAACTAAATCATCAGTTTCTCACAGTAAGGTTTTGACCCAACAATTCTGTAATCATCAATAGTATTTTACATATATACATGATATAGATGACTGCCAATATTATCAACTTCCGTTTTGCTCTCTTTATGGTTTCATCACCAAACAATAAAGATACCTGCAAAAGACAAAGCTACTACTGCAGCGAAGGGGCATAGCATATGAACAAACCCTAATAAGCTCAGCTCAACTATTACTGAATCCCCATGACAACTTGAGATAAAAGAAGGAACCAAAACAAGCAGTGCCTACATTAACTAACATGTCACATATGAGTGTGTAACAATCATATCTTTCTCCAGACCTCCTAAGGGACATAGAAACAAACCACAATACAAATAACTGCATATATGAACCCTAGATACGTATGCCAACTTAATAAGCGGGTAAACGATATTAGGGAACAACTTCAACATCAATCCGAATTCCAATAGTTTGTAAGCTAATAACTATTAACTTTATATGAATACGCCATTTCCAAACTAGCAACAATCCTTTCACTCTTTGTATGTTACCAACAGTTTGTGTTGAAAGCTTAAGTTGGGCCATTCTGGACTTGAACCCAAGGCTCGCCAAATCACCATAAGCACTTACTCGTAAGAATCTCAATCGTTTTACATAGATCGACATTCTAGTTCAACTTCATCACACCTAAATCGAATTTCTGCACAGAGGAACTTAGGAGAGACTGAACAGATGCTCGAAGGTCGAAACAACAACAGAAGCTGAACAGAACGGTTTCTAGGGCAACAAGGAAAGCATAAGCAAATTAACTGTCACCGAGCAATATTCCTACAGTTAGGGAGCTCGATAGATGATCAATTAGCTTTAACAGGAGAAAGAGAAGGTAAATGAAAGGTGAAATAGAAGGTCGAGGGAGGGAGGGAAGTCGTACGGAAGCAGGTTTGCCGATGATGTTGGCGACGGTGGAGGTTGCTTCGGAGAGAATGGCGGAGGTGTCAACGCCATCAAGGCTCACGTTCGTCGACAAGTTGAGGCACGGCATCTTCCTTCTTCTTCGCGCTCACAAGAGCTTACTGATTCTGGTTTCTGCACCCGACCAGCAAAGAATCAATCAACTCTGCCAAATGAAACAAAAAAGGGATAGAAAACTTCTCAGTCACACTCGGTCACGGCTCGCAGACAGACCCGTTCCGCTTATTGGTCACACCTCACACCAACTCCCCGGTCCCGACTCCCGTCTATCCGATATGGACGCAATAGCTGTCAAACCGGTTTAGTAGGGAGGGTATTATTTGCCGCCCGTAAATTAAATTAAAATGATATTTTTATCTTTTGTCCATTATTTATAACACAAATCTCATTCCACCAGCGATCATCACTGTCGTCGACAATAGACCATCGTCGGCCCCGCCACTTCTGCTGCCACCAGCGCCAGATCACCACCGCCGCCAAACCGCCGACGTCGCCACAACCGCCGGATCACCACCGCGATCAGCACCAAACCATCACAGCCGGCGGGCGGACCATTTCTCGCCGTCCGATTCCCTGATAGAAGTGGCCTGAGAAACGGGGAAGAGAAATAGGAGAGTTTTGTTTATGGTATAAGTTATAAGTTTTTTTTTTTGGTTAATACCTTAGTTTGGCCTGAACTATACACATACTTTTTACTTTGGCCCGTGGTATTGAAAATTGCTATTTTGGCCTGAACTATGTAGCAAACTTCCTCATTTGGCTCGGAGGCGGGTTTGACTGTCAAATTAGACGGTCAAGCCCGTTGACCGTTAGTCAATGTCCACCTCACCTGCCACGTCAGCTTTGAGGACATAAAAAATTATTTTTTTTATTTCTGAATTTTATTTTCTTTCGATTAATAAAAATAATAAATCAAAAAAATTAATTAAAAGAACAAAAAGGGCCCATTTTTAGCAAATGACAAGAAAACAAAATTCAGAAATAAAAAAAAATATTTTTATGTCGTCAAAGTTGACGTGGCAGGTGAGGTGGACATTGACTAACGGTCAACAAGTTTGACCGTCTAATTTAACGGTCAAACCCGCCTCCAGACCAAATGAGGAAGTTTGCTACAAAGTTCAGGCTAGAATAGCAATTTCCAATACCACGGGCCAAAGTAGAAAGTATGTGTATAGTTCGGGCCAAACTAAGGTATTAACCCTTTTTTTTTACTTAGGTAGATAGTTAATAGATAGGGAAATACAAAGAGTTGAAAAGTAAATAGCAGTAATCAGCCAAGTGCTGATTCACCGATGCAAGAGCCGTTTTCGCCACGCAATGGACAGCCCTGTTAGTTTACATTTATGAAATATTTTATTTTGAGTAATTACCGCAAAAAAGGGCCACGTAATTCAACAGAAAATCCTAACTACAAATTAGGCAAGATGAATTATCGTAAAAAAAATAGGCATAAATCTTATAATATAAACAATTTAACTGAAACATTCCTATAATTATGGGGTTAGAGTTGGATCCGCCATCGATCCCGTTTAATTTGCCCAATTATTAGTCTTTTTATTTTATTAATTCGTTACATTCCATCATTTAACTCTGAACTTCCTAAATCAATATTAACTCCTTCAATTTACAGAATTATTAGTATTTTTTGTTTTATAATTATTTAACACAACAAACTCTTTTATTTCTGCCCCAAATGACTCTCCGATCAATCAAACCCAAAAAAATAGTCATTGAAGCCTTTTACGGGTAAAAAATACAAATCAATAAATAATTATTTGAACCCATAACCACGTATTGTTTCATTAAGTAATTTTTTGGATTGTCTTTAATAATAAAAAAAATTCCATTTCATGCGCTTAGTCGTGTTAATTAGGGAATTGAACCTAGACGTGGGTTATGGAATAAGACATGTTAATTAAGGATTTTTTTTCGAATGTCAATTAAGTAATGAAACTAGTTTTTTACCCGCCCGTTGGGCGGTGTATTTTGTTTGGTTGTTTTATAATTCGTTATAGTATTCTAATTGTTTTTTTTTTATAGATTATAGTATTCTAATTGTTATTATTATTATTTATGTTTGCTAAGGTAATATACATGGAATTGTAAATCTCACTTACCTATTTCAGGTATTATTTCATACTTTTATACCTTTTGTTTATTTATGAACATTTTAATTTTATTAACTAAGCTCTTTGTAGACGGTTCTTTATTGATTTAGAATTTTTTTATCGAACTCGCCCTTTAAGATTACTAGCATTGGGTCCGGCCCGTTGGCCGGCAAAGTTCAGGCAATGAATTTGATATATAATAATAGATATGATAGATGCTTTGAAACATATGTAATGAGTATTTTGTACATTAGTATGCACGTAACATATTTGAAACTGGTCTAACTATGCATAATGTGTTTAGAACTCCATAAAAAAGGAAGAAAATTTTGATATAAGCATTAAGTGTAATAATTGAATAAAAAATTAAATATAAATAATTTTCATTCATTACTTAAGTAGACCATATAGTTGGATATTAGAGTTACTTCTATAATACATACATAATTAACCTTCAAAATGAAAGAAAATGATTGGTCTCTCTTAGAGTTCAATATGTCATTGAAGTGTTTTTTTTTTTCTTCAATAGAGAGCACCTCTTTGACAACATTGCGGTTAATGGATCTAAAGTTGCAGAATTTAAAATATATAGGACATGATGCAAGGTTGTCACTAATAGTTACTTGGAAAATGTATAGTGTATGAGTGAATGCCCAAATGACTCTTAGATCTCAATTATTCCCAACAACAATGTAGTAATTTCCTTGCAACAAATTTTTTTTCATGAAATAAATTCAAATATGAAAATGTATGAAAATAAGAATATATGGAAGATACGTCCATGCAAAGGAAAAAGTTATGCAAACCTTTTACCATCATTGAAGGAGATAACCGAAATGAAGTTAGATCAACAATTGAACAAATGCTTGCACGTTGTTGGCAACTTCATAAAAGTCATCTTCAATGGTGTTTTTCATTGCCCTTATTCTGACATAAGCATTGACATGTAACAAAGTTAATTATATGTAGCCATGAACATGTATATATGCACTATGGATAAGAACAATTACTTACGGATTTAACAAATGGTGCAATAAAGGATAATTCCAGTCGAAATATAGTTTCGATGTTGGGGATTATATTTCAATGTTGGGGATGCAACAAAGTAATAGCTTCTTAGCAATGATGAAGTAACTTAGTTTTTGGACTATGTTATTATAAGTGTGAAATGGAAATATAATAGTCAAAAAGTAGAAAGCCATTAAGTATGGCTTATCGTTAGAGGTGGCAAATAGATTGGATTCATTGATTGGTGGATTGGATTGGTAAATCCATGGATCAAATGGATTGGTGGATGTTGATGTGACTTGAATCGGACTATCAGCCGCTACGACTGGTAATCGGGGGGGCTCAATGTTATTTGGGTTCGGGTTCTGGGCCTGGTCTGTAACCGTTTCCTTTGCCATATTGGATTAGGTTTAGACCCACATGGAGAAGTACTATAAATACTTCTCATACTCCTCTGTAATCTGTAATCTCCTCGATATAGTGAAATTGGCTCTCTCTCGCCCGTGGACGTAGCTAACACACATCGTGTTAGTGAACCACGTAAGTCGTGTGTCGTGTTTTCGATTCTCACTTTCGTATTCTTGCTTTGTCGATTCTAGCGATTTCCCGATCCGTAGCAGCGCGTTTATAACAGTGGATTATCCATAAATCCAAATGACATCCTCAACCTTGGACCAATATGTAAAATGTGAAAATTTTAGGTACTAAAATGTCATAATGAAAATTTTTAGGTACCAAAATGTAATTTTCCAATGATATTTTCATATGAAAATTTAAATTTTGGTATCCAAAATTTAAAATATAAAAATTTAAGGTACCAAATCGTAATTTGCCATTTGGATCCATGGATCAATCCATGAATCCACCAATCCAATTGGATTTGGATCAAATAGATTGGATTTAAATAGATTGAATTACGTGGATATTTTTAATGGATTGGTGGATTGAATGAATAATTGTCACCTATACTTATCGTGTGATTTGCCACATATATTACTGATTTAAGTACACATACCACACCTAACTCTGATTAATTGGGTATTACAACTTTAAATTGAGAAATCAAAGAGGGAGCTATTTTTATCAAAGCTCCCCTAATAAACATGAGGTGATAAAGTGAGATGGACACAACATAGAAATGATGCATAAAAGTATGAAATCAGAAAAAAGCCATAGAACTAACTCCAATAGTTTTAGGTACACATTATTTTATTAGTTTTGTTGAAAAATTCATTCAAAAAATTCAAACGTTGGTTGCACATAGTGAACTTCACCAACCACGTCTGTGATACAAAAAAATGAACAAAAAATTTAGAGTATAATAAACAAATTAGCATAGGTAATTGCATGCGAAGCAGGATGTAAATTCCCTTTTCATTAGATAGCACATAATGTGCCTCCCAACTTTAAATATTTACAATAGCAAAGCCTCTAAAATACATGAATCTAATAGTGATGGTAAAAAATGTGATTTAGAGTTGTAGAAGGGATGATAAAAATGTAATCTTAGTATTCCTCTCGAGTTCAGGGAAACAAACATATTTTTGGAGGTTCATTTCACCATTTTGAATCTTAGTATAACTTAATTTAATAGTGGAAAACAAATATATTTGGCATGGTTTGTAATTACTTAATGAATTGAAGAATGAATGAAGGGTAGCACAAAACAATCTTGACAATGAATGATTACAAAGTATGGTGAAGTTACGTACCGAACAAAATATCAGTCATAATCTATAGCTAATTTTCATCAATTTGATATCTTATCTCCTCTTGATCATCTAATTCTTCTTATGACCAAATTTTGAGCATCAATACTCATGTTTTGTTTATCAGGTTTCTCCTCATTCCCCACTCTTAATATGTCAGTTAACTTAATTTATACAGGACATTAAGATTATTCTATTCCAGTAACCTATGATTTCCAATTTTATAGAAGCATCTGAGGATCTTGCTAACTAAATCAACATCATTGTATGTTTAGATTAAACCATT